GGGGGGGGGGGGGGGGGGGGACGGGGATTTGGGGGAAAATGGGGATTTTTTAGGAAAAAACGGGGATTTCTTCGAGATTTTTGGGTTTTTTTAAGAGGTAATTCGGGATTTGTGGGATTTTTTGGGAGAAAATGGGAATTATTTTAGGGAAAATGGGAATTTTGGGGTGGAAATGGGGATTTTTTTGGGTTTTTGGTGTTTTTCAGTGAAAAATTGGGAAATTTGGTGGGAAAATGGAGATTTTTAGGGAACAACGGCGATTTTTTAGGGAATGACGGGAATTTGGAGAAAATGGGGATTTGGGATCAGGAAATGGGGATTTTGGGGGGAAAGAAGAGGATTTTGGCTGCCCCTCACCTTCTCCAGGTCGCTGTGCAGCTGCTTCAGCATCGCTTCCAACTGGGAAACTTTTCCCGGGAGATCCAGGGGGGCGGGGGAGGGGCTGGGGGGGAAATTTGGGATTGGGAGGGGCGGGAATGGGAAAAAAAAGGGGAAAAAAGCCCCAAAACGGCCCAAAATGAGGGAAAAAAATGGCTCAAAACCCCCCAAAATTCCCATTTTTTTTTTCCACAAATTCCTTCCCTAAAGCCCCCAAATCCCCCCAAATTCCCTCCCAAACCAACCCTAAAACCCCCAAATTCCCATTTTTTCCCCCCCCAAATTCCCGTTTTTCCCCCCCCCAAATTTTATTTCCCCTCCCCAATTCCTCCCCTCCCCCATCCCGGAATTTTGGGGTTCCCGGACTCTGGGGGTACCTGAGGGGGGGGAGGGGCGCCCCCCGCGGTGGGGGAGGGGCGGGGGGCGGCTCCGGGCTCAGGGCGGGGTCGGTGAGCGAGAACAGGGACACGGCGCGCTGCACTGGAACGGCCACAAACACCCAAAATCACCCCAAAACAGCCCAAAAACACCTGAAATCACCCCAAAACAGCCCCAAAACACCCAAAATCACCCCAAAATCACCCCAAAACCACCCAAAATCACCCCAAAACAGCCCAAAAACACCCAAAATCACCCCAAAAACAGCCCAAAACCACCCAAAATCACCCCAAAACCACCCAAAATCACCCCAAAAACACCCAAAATCACCCCAAAACAGCCCAAAAACATCTGAAATCACCCAAAAACAGCCCAAAAACACCCAAAATCACCCAAAAACAGCCCAAAAACACCCAAAATCAGCCCAAAACCACCCGAAATAGCCCCGAAATCACCCCAAAAATGTTCCCAAATGACCAAAAATTCCCCCAAATCCCCCCAAATTCCCGTTTTTCCCGGATTTTGGGATCCTGAATTCCCACCTTTTTCCTGTTTCTCGGGATCCCCAAATTCCCATTTTTGGGATCCCCAATTCCCGTTTTTTCCCTCTTTTACTCCCCCCTATTTCCCCTTTTTTCCCATTTTTCCT